GAGAGGGGGATGGGGCCCATGGCAGCACCCACTGCTCGTTGAGAAGAGTAAGAACGATACGTGCTTTCACGTCGGAGTTGCCAAAAGTCTCCAATAACACCAGAAAAAGTCGCTAGTCGCTTTTTTGAAAATGTGTCGCTAGAAGGGTCTGAAAGCTTGGCAACACTGGTCTTCTTCCAGAAACGAACAGTAAAACTTGAGGAAAAGTCTCGCTGGCTGCTTTGTTTGCTGTGATGTGGGCGTTTACATGCCTGTTACATACATGTTTACATGACTATTGTAATATCAAAATATCAAAATATCGGCTTGTGGGCGTGATCTAATTAGAGATAATGAAGGTAGATGGAAAAAAGACTTCGCGTTGGTTTCATACTGATTACTTTGTCACATAATATTTGTTTTATGACATGACTTCGTTTAAAAGTAGACATGTCAAGCTTTCTATAGATATATCTCTCATGAATGCGTGTCAAATATTCACTGAGTTTCAGTTCATTTTAGTGACGCGTTTCAAACAGATATGCACGAAGAATGAGACTGCTTGAAAGCACACCCTGTTTATTTTCTTTATTTTACAAAAGCACAATGTTTTGTTGATATTATGAGTGCACACAAATAAAAGTAGACCCTTTACAGCTATGAATGATGTATTACTCTTACCTTTATGAGCAAAATAATTTTTAAAGTGATCGCGCTGGCGCCTCCATGTCCTGCAAAGCGCGCTTTAGCTTGCACTCTCCGCACACTCTATTGGATATAGTGCACATTTATCTAGGTTTATTGTTTAAATATTGTTATATGCTTGAACTGTTTTATATCTATAGATTTTATTTTAGGCAAGTTGTGATGATTTGAGAAGGCTAAATTGATCAAACATAGGCTCACTGTCTGCCGCTGGCCGCTTGGTCGCTACTTTAAAAAACAAAAACGATACGAAATATAATCACTTTGCCATTACATACAAAACTGAACCATTTTAATAGCTGAAACCGTAGTATAAGCTGTTTTGGGAGAAGGGGGGAAAAGACGGGCTCGGGCTTATATTTGAGGCCCGTGCAGGGCTCTACCAGGAACTATGATGACGCATTCTCTAAATATAGCCTATAGCGTTATGTCAAAATACTAATTTATTTAATTTTAAATTAAACAAATGTAATCCTGATAGTATTCCCACTTTTTACAAAATGTAACTGTAATCTGAATACTTTGTTTTTTGATGTAACTGTAACGGATTACAGTTACTAGATTTTTGTATCCTGATTACGTAATGCCGTTACATGTATTCCGTTACTCCCCAACCCTGGAAGTGTCTTTCTTTACAATAAATGACACTTCATTACATATTCAATCTAATTCCACTGAACTGAATGAATCCTGATCAGATTCATCGTAGTAAAGAATGGTAATGTAATGTCATCTCTGTGAGAGTGAGTGTTTACAGCCCTGTGTGTGTCACTGACTGTGTGTCTACCATTCGTGTGTGAGTGAGTGAGTGTGTGTGAGAGTGTGTGTGTGTGTGAGAGGGTATATCAATGACAAACTTTATTATCAGGAAAAAAATGGAAAAAAAAAAAAAAAAAAAGTTACAAATTTAAGAAATATAAAAAAAAATAAAACATATTTTTAACATATTTTACTTCAGCTCATTTCCAAGGCAACATTTCTCATTTTCATTTAGTTTAACTTACTAAAAAAAAATTAAAGTACAAAAACAAACAAAAAAACAAACACAGGAACCAATTCAAAATATCTGATATTGAATTAAATCCGATTCAAAAATATTAACAAAAAATTTAATAGTAAATCGAAAATACTAAAAAGATAAGACTAAATCATAAGTAGTACTGCATCTATATTTCACAGAGAGCACAATCCCATAATACATCGCAACACAAAGCCATCCCAGGTGATGAAGTGAGGGAAATGTTGATTATTAATATACTACATTTAACGAAAGACTTTAAAGTATTGCTCTGAAAACTGTAGAGTCACTCACTTATGAGGTTGCCTATGTAGTCAGCATAGAAGCAGTCGGGTTTGGAGCAGAACTGGTGTGTGAGAGGAGAGCTTCAGTCAATCAGTCCATAAAAATCATCCGCACTTCTGCTCGGTTTGCTCCACTTTAAGCCATCGGTTTGGTAAAATTTAGGATTAATTTTTTTATTTTCCTTTAAAGTGTTTCGTATATTTATCTGTTTGAATATATGCTTGTCTGCACAGACCTGGATTTTAACAGAAACCTTTGCATTTAATTTTATTTAATTTAATTTTATTTTATTTAATTTAATTTAATTTTATTTAATTTTATTTAATTTAATTTTATTTTATTTAATTTAATTTAATTTTATTTAATTTTATTTTATTTGATTTGATTTTATTTGATTTGATTTTATTTTATTTTATTTTATTTTATTCTTTAGTTTAGGTTTGTGTTTTATTTTATCTTTTAATTTAGTTTTATTTTCATTGATTTTGTTTTGTTTCTTTTATTTTGTTGTATTTCATTTATTTTTATTTTGTTTATCATTTGTTTCATTGTGTTTAATTTTCTAATTAATTTTTAACATTTAAATTATTATTATTTTATTTTTTATTTTACATTTCATTTAGATTTTTGCATTATTTTATATTATATTATTTTGTTTTTAATTTCATTCAATTTTTTTTTTTTTTTTTTTACATTTTTTAAAATTTGTCATATTTCAATATTTTAAATTATTTTTAGAATCCAGATGAACCTTACTTATTCTTTTTGTTTGCTCTTGTTAGCTCTCTCTCAGCACAGTTTTGCTTGTTTTAATTGTTTTATGAATCATCAGTGACATCCAGAGACGTTTTGTTCTCCGAGCTGGTGAGATCAGGGATCAGACGTTGGAGAACCTGGGTTTACATTCACAGGTTGATTCTGAAACGTTGTAACAGTGTAAACTGGTCAGGAATCGCTCGTTTTATTTGAGATGATCCAAACACTAAAATCCGGCTGTTATTAGGGTCAACAGGAAGTCGTGTGTCTCTCACCGCCTCACTTCCTCTGCACACTTCTGTTTCTGACCGTCCTCAAAGAGCTGCGGCTTTGTGCTTGTGTTTCAATGAGTCACGTTTCATTTACTGCACATCCTTGTGCTTATTATGTAACCGCATTATATTAAACTGCTCACCTACCAGTATTACTGAGATACTATTATAGTGTTATTCATATTTTGAATGTTTTTATTTTTAGAATTTTTATTTTTTCAAATGTATAATTTGTTTTAGTGTGTGTTTTTATCATGGTTAGTAATATTTTTTTTAAATGTGTAATTTTTCTTTTTTAAATTGTAGTTTTTTTTTAATGATTATTTAGTTTTTATATATTTGTATTTCAATTAAAGTTAAACTAAATGAAAATTGCCTTGGTAAGTATCTGAAATAGTTTATTTTAAATATATATTTTAATATAATATAATTATTTCATAAAAATTATCATTTTAATAATAAGCATAAACAATGTTAATAATTGATAATAATTAAGAAAATATTTTTATAAATATTTAAATATATATTTATAAATATTTTTTATGTTATAAATATATTTATTATATATTTTTAATATTTAAATTTTATTTCAAGTAGCAATAATGTTTTTTAAATGGTTTTAGTTTTAGTTAACTCTATTAACCCTGTTACTTGTACTTTATTGCAGGAATAGTTCATGCGAAAACAAATCCTGTCATCATTTACTCGCCCTTATTCCGTTGCAAACCTGTGTGATATATTATAATAATTATTTAATGATAATTAACATTGTATTAATAATCATAAACAATATTATAAAATAAAATAATAAAATAAATACTCTTGATGAATTTTGACAATTTTAATGTACTTTTATAAATATTTTATTTCAGATAAGGTTTATTTGTTTGTTTTTTCTGCTGGCACTCATGTCATTCTGTATGAGTTTCTTCTGTTGAACACCAAGGAAAGGTTAAATGTGGGTTAAAGGTTAAATATGAGCGATTGGAGGGTGTTTTGCGCCTTCATTAACGCTCAGTGTGTTGTGTTCGGCTCAGGACTGTTTCACGGTGGAAGGGGAAGATCTGAAGCATGACTTTGAGCGACTCCAGCTGGCCATGGAGATGGTGGGCTTCCTGCCGACCACCAGAAAACAGTGAGTTACAGCCTAAAAACCCGACAGAAGTCATGAAAAAACCACAGCGGTCACTTAAACTGCTCTGAAAAGACACAGGACACACTCTCTGCCTGTCAGTCACTTCGTGTGTTCAGGTTTTCTGACATCTGATTGGCTGACGTGGCATTAGAGGGCGGGGTTGTGAGGATGTGTTTTTCTGGCATGTTCTCTTTGTTTTCTTTATTGTGAGATTTGACTCATGTTTTGTTCTCCGCAGGATCTTTTCTTTACTGTCTGCGATTCTTCTCCTGGGAAATATCCGTTACAAGAAGAAGACGTACAGAGACGACTCCATCGATATCTGCAACCCAGAGGTGCTTCCTATCATCTCTGAACTGCTGGAGGTGAGAGCGCACACCACAAACCCTGTGCAAGTCCACATGTGCAACCCACCTTACTACTACTACTTACATGGAGTGATGAATCGAGCTAAATTTAATTTAGTTTATTTCATTTTTTTTTTTTTATATATTTTGAGTTAATTTAATTTAATTCATTATTTTTTATATTTTATTTTATATTTTGAGTAAATTTAATTAAATTCCTTTTATTGTTTTAATTCGGTTTTTTTTTTTTTTTTTTATTTTATTGTTTTTTAATTTTATTTTTTAATTTAATTTTATTATTTTTATATTTTATTTTTATTATTTTCAGTGATTCTGTTGTTCATTTGGTTTTGATTTTTTTTTTTTTTGTGCTGTAGCTTGCTGTAGCTCCGCCCATTATGAAATCTCATTGGTTTCATTGGCATTTCACTTTCATTAAGGACTGAATAATTATTTGATGATGGAAATGTGTGACATTATGACACTCAAATAGTTTCCTCCTGCTTCAATAAAACATCTGGTTGAGCTCAACTAATACTATTTTATAAAAAATAATATTATTATAGAATGTATTAATAATTTGAAGTAGCTTTTTAGTTTCGGTTTTCATTTTAGTTTGTTTTTAGTAATTTTATGTGCTTTTTCATTTTAATTAAATTAAATTTTTTTGTGTGTTTTAGTCACTTTTAGTAGCTCCTTACAGTTTAATCACAAACTGCGAAAGGTTTGATTTTCTCTGGCTGCAGCGACTCTTTGGCCTGAAGACTGAAGGTTTTTCTGCTTTATGAGCTTTAAATTCCTCGTTTGTGTTTTCTTTTTACAATGTTTTAGTCGTTTCTGATAACTTTTGGTGTTTTGAATGTTAATCTACCACACAAACAGCAGTAAAACACATGAGTTTATGTGATATAAATTAACATTTCTATGCATTCGAGGCTTTTATGGGCAAACACTTGCACGCTAAGGCAGACTAACGTATCTTGGCGTCTGTCGGTGGGTTTGTCTTGAAATATCCCAGTGGAAAGTGTTTATGTTGAAAATCACATTCTGTCCAAACACAGATTCGTTTTACAGAGTCACTGAAGCTGCAAAACTCTCCACAGAAGCGTCCTAAATGAGGTGGTTTAATGCTAAATGTGTTTATTTCTCATGGTTTGTTTGTTTTTGATGTGCAGGTGAAGGAGGAAATGCTTTTCGAGGCTCTGACCACACGAAAGACAGTGACGGTGGGCGAGAGGTTGATCGTGCCGTACAAACTGGCCGAGGTGAGATGGTTATTACAGGCCTCAAACACTCCTTCAGAGCTTCTGCGAGATCTTTCATGAAGCTGATGTGTGAGATCTTGACGTTTGTTTGAAGTCGTGGTGGTTTTTGTGAGGTTTGTGGTCTGAAGTGTCAGGTTTTTAAGGGTTTTTCCTGTGAGCGGTTTACTCTTGATGTCTCCTTCAGACCTTTACATATACTTGAACACATATGCATTACCATGCTCTTGAGTGTAAATTGTTAAAGTGCATTTGATCTGTACGTGTTTTGAGAATCGAAGCGTGACCTTGATGTTGCTAGCGTCACGATCTATCAATAGAGCTACAGGAAACATCAAATAACATCTCAGAACATTATACTGTAGACCTGAGAAGAGTTTAACATACACATATTTGTTTATTTGTTTCTATTTTAATTAATTGATTCATTAATTAATTTATGTTATTAATGAATTCATTTATTTATATTCATTTTACCTTTTGTTTTAGACAGTGCCATGCTCTACCAATAGAACTACAGGAAATATAAATAGTCAAATGTATTTATTTATTTGTATTTTATCTATTTATTTATTTATTTTAAATAATTTATTTATTTATTCATTAATTTATATGAATTTTTACCTTTCGTTTTAGACAGCGCCATGCTCTACCAGTAGAACTACAGGAAATATAAATAGTCAAATGTATTTATTTATTTGTATTTTATTTATTTATTTTAATTAATTAATTAATTAATTAATTTGTTATTAATGAATTCATTTATTTATATTCATTTTACCTTTTGTTTTAGACAGCGCCATGCTCTACCAATAAAACTACAGGAAATATAAATAGTCAAATGTATTTATTTATTTGTATTTTATTTATTTATTTTAATTTATTTATATTAATTTTTACCTTTCGTTTTAGACAGTGCCATGCTCTACCAGTAGAACTACAGGAAATATAAATAGTCAAATGTATTTATTTATTTGTATTTTATTTATTTATTTTAATTTTTACCTTTCGTTTTAGACAGCGCCATGCTCTACCAATAGAACTACAGGAAATATAAATAGACAGATTTATTTAGTTAGTTAGTTAGTTATTTACTTACTACGTTCGTTTTAGATAGCGGCATGCTCTCAATACAGATTCAGGAAACATAATAAAAAATGAAAACAAAAAATAGACAAAATATTTCAGAATATTATACAACTGAAAAGAGTTTAAACTGTATTTGTTTCTTTGTGTTAATTTGTTTACATATTTTATTTATTTATGTTATTAATTATTTTATTTTTACATTTATTTTTACTTTTATTTTAGACAGCACCATCTTCTACCAATAGAGCTACAGGAAACATAAATAGACAAAACATTTCAGAATATTATACAACTGAGAAAAGTTTGTTTGTTTGTTTGTTTTAGTTATTTAATTGTATTTATTAATTTTTTTATTTACTTTTAATCACTATATTCTTTTTGTTTTTGTTTTTTTTTCAATTCCGGGCCCATGGAAAATATCCACATTAATATAAAAAGAATATGTAAGACATTTAATTAATATTTTCCTTAACATTCGATTTGTGTCACTGCATGAATCACAAAGTCTCTCATTAGTTTATTAATTATGTTTCATGTGTTGTGGATGAATCTCTTCATGCTTTACATGCACAATCACACTCAAACTCTCTCTCCATCTCGTCTCACTTTCTCTTGTGGTCTAATTTCACTCCTGAAGTCAAACGCTAAACGTTTCCTCCACAGAGAGTGTGAGTGTGAGTGTTTGTTTTATTACGACACACAAACTCAGTGGTTTATCCGGAAACCCCAGTGGTTCAGAAAACACACACCTCACAAACACTCACACAAACTCACGGAAACACAAACTCACAAACACTCACACAAACTCACACACACAAACTCACAAACACGCGCACATTTTACGATTATGCTGTGTGAAAGGTGTGTGTATTATATTTGTTCACACATTTGCACAATAGCTAGTAATAATCCTAGTACACACATTTCCTCCCATTATTGGCAGGTTCTGTCTAGTTGACTTCAGTGACTGATTGTTCATCAATGTCTCTGAGCTCCCTCATCAATAAAGCGATCAGCTCCGACAGTCATGATGACGTGGTGAAATCATGCATCAGCGCTCAGTTTCACATTGACCTGATGTGAGATGTGTGTGTGTTTCAGATCCTGTCCATCGGTGTGCTGGACATCTTCGGCTTTGAGGACTACGAGAACAACAGCTTCGAGCAGTTCTGCATCAACTTCGCCAACGAGACGCTGCAGCATTACTTCAACCAGCACGTCTTCAAGCTGGAGCAGGTAACAGATCTCTGGATCTGATCACATGAGCGCCGTCGTTTACTCGTCCTGTTCTGCGCTCACATGATCACATTTCATTACTGATTCGACACTGGAGTCTTAGAATATAGACTAACCTGAAGTGTGTTTAAATCTTGATCTTTTATGTGTTTAATATGAATACTGTGCTTATTTAAAGGGATAATTCAAGGAAAAAACGTGATGTTTTTCTGTGAACAACTCCAGGGTTATTATAGTTCATTAAAACTGATTAAAACTAAAACCATTAAAAACATTGTTAATTTAAATAAAATAAAGGATAACTGAAACGATATAAAATATTAAAAAAGTAAACTAATTTTATTTCAGCTAGTTGCCAAGGCAACACTTCTTATTTTCATTTAGTTAAATAAATAATAAAATAAATATAAAATATTAATTTCATTTTATTTTATTTTTAATTTAGTAAATAAGTTCATTTTATACAAGAAAATTGAAAGATCTTTTACACTTTCAAAATATAAGCATAAAAAACTATATAGACATTTAAAGCTTAAAATTAACGGAAACGTTGCGTTGGCAACTAGCTGAAATAGTTTACATTTATTATATATTTTTATTTCAGTTACATTTTTTTTTTTATTTTTATTTTATTTCAAGTAACATTTTTTTATGGTTTTAGTTTTAGTTTCCATTAACTATAATAACCCTGATTGAAAGGATTAAAGCCTGAAAATGTTATTATAAATACATATCAAATATTCGTTTTCAAAAATTGTTTTTGATTTTAGTTCATTTTATACAAGAAATTTTTTTTTTTTTTTGACATTTTCATAATATGATCATAAAAAACTATATAGACACATTTAAAAAGAAATACTATATTATTAAAATTATGTAAATTATATATATAATATTATTAATAAATATCAGGCATCAGTTTTATGAATTTTAGTAAAGTTGTTCATTTTATACATTATAAACTTATTGTTATTATATACATTATTATTCTTATGATGATTATGATTATTTTTGTTGTTGTTGTTTTTATTGTATTTATTTTCTGAAACACTTCGAGTTACAATTTATGTTTGGAAGGCACTATTAAAATAATAATAATAACTATTGTTGTTGTTGTTAGTATGAAACTATTCTAACTGCTGCAGAAATAATAAAAAATATGTTAAAAGACCTAAACTTGGAGGTTAGTAATGTTGTTAGTGTATATGATACAGGATTAAATAAAAGCATTATTATATTTAATATTGTTTTCATATTCAGACCTTTGAAAGCCTTCGAGCTGCAGTGTGTGTTTGCAGTAACACAGAAGGTTTGCGGTGTGTGTTTGGTCTGTCAGGAGGAGTATCGCTCGGAGGGCATCAGCTGGCACATGATCGACTACATCGACAACACGGCCTGCATCAACCTCATCAGCAAGAAACCCACCGCGCTGCTCCACCTGCTGGACGAGGAGTGCAAGTGAGTCTCGTCTCAGCTCAACCGCATCTGACAGAGTGCTGCCAGTCACAGTTATCATGCAGCTTTCAGATATTATGTGTTTTCCATTATTAAAGTGCTCTTGCTTTGGATTTCACAGAAATGTTTAGTAAATATTAAGCTAGAAGCCGGTTCCATTGGATTTATTCACACTAATGTTTATTTAATTCTTTAATATCATTATCTTTGTTGTTTGTTATATTGTTATAACATCAGAAAACTGGATAAGTCACCACAAATATTAAAATCTAAATTTATTTTTGTGTAATTAAGATGATGGTATAGTTTTTATTAATATTCTGAATTAGGTTTTTTTATACATATTTTCCATTTCCATTTTAGTCCAAGTTGTAGTAATTTTGCTGTTTTTGATATATATATACGTTTTAGTCATTTTCTTGTGTATTTATTTTTTTAATCATTTTATAGTTTTTTTATTTCTTAAAAAATTTAGATATTTATTATGTACAAATTTAATTTTTTTATTTAATTTATTAGTTTTTACTTTATGCTCATATTATGAAAATATAACCTTGACATTTCTTGTATGAAAATGAACTACTAATGAAATATTGCAATCATTTGTATATTTGCACATTTGCAATTAGTATATTTACTAATCAAAATTTGAAAATGAATATATGATATTTATTTGTAATATATACATACATTTTTATTTCAGTTTTAGTTATTTTAGTACTTCAGGTTTAAATAAAGTAAAAAATTGCATTGGCAACTAGCTGAAATAAAGTTTCAATTTATTATATATTTTATTTCAGTTAATGTTTATTTTATTTCAAGTAACAAAAATGTTTTTTTTTATGTTTTTAGTTTAAGTTTCAGTTAACTATACCTGATTGAAAGGATAAAAGCCTGAAAAGATTATTATAAATAAATATCAAATATTTATTTTCAAAATTAGTTTTACATTTATACAAGAAAATTTTAACGTTGTTTTCATAATGAGCAATAGTGTTAATAGATACATTATTGTTTGAACTCCGTTTCTGTTTAGTAGCATTTCTGTCATAAAACAGTGATGAATTATTGCAGACGGGAGTGTTTGATCAGGTGTGAATGTGAATGTTGTTGTGGTTGGCTTGCAGTTTTCCGCAGGCGTCTAATCAGACTCTGCTGGATAAGTTTAAGCGGCAGCACGAGGGAAACGGCTACATCGAGTTCCCAGCCGTCATGGAGCCGGCGTTCATCATCCGACACTACGCCGGCAAAGTCAAATACAGCGTCAAGGTGAGAAACTCGCAGACCCCAGCTCTGCTGCTTCAGTGCTTAAATGTGTGTGTGATTGAGTGAGCATTTGCATATGTTACACACACACACACTGACCTAATTCTGTGCTTTGATCTGATTGGTTGGATCGGGTGTATCTGGAGCACATGTTTGGCAGAGAGGGTTAAATCTGCACGCTACACACACACACACACACAC